TGGGGCCCTCCGCTGCCTCCACATCCGAAGGCCTGGCAGGGGCAGGCTCCTCCTCTCCGTCGGCTTGCCATCCTGGCCGCCATAGATGACGGTCGGTCGTGAGCGAGGTGGCGTCGATGCGCCCGACCTTCGCGGCGTACACGGGCGCCACGCTCCCGTCGCCCCCCCGTCTCGTCCATGAGTGCACGATTTGTCCGGCCACGACGCTCAGGTCGCTGCCGGCGACGTGCTGCGCTGTCAGCACCACCACCGCCTGCAAGGTCCAGCTCGTCGGTCACGAGCCGCCATTGCGCCGGGCGGGCGGCGCGCGCTGCGACCACCCGCGAGTAGGCTTCCTGGTCGGCCACGAGCACGGAGTCGAAGCGCTCGGCAGCGCTGGCGGGGGCCCCGGCAGTGCCCCCAGCGGCCCTGGCGAGGGGGGCGGGCCGATTAGCGCCAAGATTGTCGCCGGCACAAAGGCGTCCGAGGCCTCCTCGTCGTCTGCGGCCTCCGTGGGCACCCTGGCGGCTTGCATTTCTTCCTCGTCGGCGCCACCGGCGTCTGCCACGGGGCCCTCGCGTAGGAGACGGCCCCGATCTCGATTTCCAGCTTGCTTCCGTGCAGCTCGACGTCCTCCTCGGGGTCCTCGCCTCAGATGCCAACCCTGCTCCCGAAAACTTGGTTGCTGCCATTCGCGCTGCCCTCCACGAGCTGCGCCTGGACGACGTGCGGCACCGTCTGCACCTCCGCAGCCGTCTCGCATTTCTCCTGCTCGGGGTCCCTCTCGAGGCCCGCGCCGCCGATGTCGACCCCGACCCCGAATTCCAGCTCGACGTCCGCCTCGGGATCCTCGCCGAAGATGCCGACCCAGCCTCCGAACGGACGCCAGCGTGCTGCCGTCAGCGCTGCCCTCGCCGAGTAGCACCTTGACGATGTGTGGCGCCGTCGGCGCACCCACCGCCGCCCCGATCTTCTCCAGCTCAGAGTCCCTCGCGAGGCCTGTGCCGTCGATGCCCACCTCGCTCGCGAACTCCCGTGTGCCCCCGCTCGCGCTGCCAACCGAGAGCGCACCCTCCGCGCGACCTGGAATCGCCGATCCTCCTCCTCCTCCTCCTCCTCCTTTTCCTCCTCCTCCTCCTTGTCCTCCTCCTCCTCCTCCTCCTTTTCCTCCTCCTCCTCCTCCTCCTCTTCGGTTGGCAGCGCGAGCAGCTCTCGGTTGGCAGCTCCTCCTCCTCCTCCTCCTGGTGTGCATCGCCGTCGGCACCTCCACCATCTTCTCGACCTCGTCCCGCTCGGAGCCCGCCTCGAGGCCCGCGCCGCCGGAGCCGACCCCTCTCCACCGAACTCCAGCTCGATCACTTTCTCCTCGTCGCTGGGGCGCCGACTCTCGGCGCCTCAGCGATGCCCTCATCGCCTCCAGTCAGGAGCGAAAGAAGGACGTACATGTACACGAATCCACGCTGGTTTCGAGAGCACGCACGGCACAAACGTTCGTATAACGCGGCCGGTCTCGCGAATCGAGGGGCCGTGTTCATGTACATAGCTGGGCGCGTACGTCCTTTGTGGGCTCCCTATCCAGAGTCTCTTCCAACTTCTCGGTCCCAACTCCCCTGATCGCAGCGAACGGCGCCTCCAAGCCCTCGAAGCGCTGCACCGTCGCCACCTCCATTGTCGGGAAGGCGGGGGCGGGGGAAGCTCGCGGCACTCCCGCGCCAGCGCCTCGCCCCTCGCCGCGCTCGTGGGTTTTCGGGAGGCCCCCGATGAAGAAGACCTCGACCGCTGGGGGCCTACGTAGCCCGGCGCCTCCTCCCAGGACCTCGCGCTCGCCCTCCGCTGCTTCAGCGAAGAACTCGGCCGCCCTCGCGTCCGCGACGTCGCGCGAGTACACCTCGAACCCCGCGTATCCACGGCGAGCGACGAGGAGCGGCTTGCCGAAGGTCACCTTCTCCATCGCCTCGTCGACGCCTGCGCTCGCAGCTTTGGCGTGGCTCCCCGCAGACGAGCCGCTCCGAAGTGCGCCCGCGGAAGCTCTGCGGCCCCCCCTCCCTCGACAGAGCCAGAAAGCCGGGGGGGGGGGGGAAGGAGGAGAAGGAAAAGGAAAAGGAGAAGGAGGAGGAAGAGGAATTCGTAGCCATTTTGGCCCAAGCCGCCCACCAGCGGGCGAAGCCCTCATTATTCAGGCGAGCTAGGCCATATCCTGTTTGCTCTCTTTCGCGTTGCGGGAGGGCGTGGGTGATGCGCGCCCATTTTGCCCTAGCCGATCGGCGGCGGATCGCAAGGCCAGCCGTGCTGGGGCAAAGAAGTTAGCTGACATATCGATCAGGAACTTGGTAGGAGAGTTGGGCAGGGCTCGCGAGCAGCTTCGTCGTGCAGATGAGGCTCTCGAGATGCTGTTAGGTGACGGGCTTGTTGTGGATCGCATTCTGTGTGTTGCCTGCGATTGGGCAGCTTCTGCAGGGCAGGAAGCCTGCCTGGCTGGGCACACTTCGCAGAAATGTAGCACTGCACGCAGACGCTCCTCACTGCAAACTCGCCGCGGCGTCGGCGTCCGTCCGTTCGAAAGGCGCAGCGCGGTCCACGGCTAGGATCTCGAGTTGCACAGTCGTTGAGTTCACATGCAGAGGAGTTTGTCCCTGCAGTGGGTGCGTGTCCCAACATTTCTGTCGCGGCAACTTCGTCACGTGGGTGTAGATCCCAAGCAGGTATCCGACCCTGCTTGTTCAGTTCTTTTAGGCAACTGTAAGATTGTCCAACCTGATCTTGCACGTGAATTCGTTGCTGATGTCAGACAGCTCAGTGAGGCTGTGGATTGCGCGCTTCCTTCTTATGTTTCTTCGCCCACTTCGCTGGCGCACGGGTCGCCGTCGTGGGTGCGAGGGGAAAAGCTCTGCAGCCTCGCGTGGAGACGAGGTCCAGCGTCCTCACGCACACAGCGATCCCGGCACAAAAGTGCCCATTTCCTTGGGGAGCGCAGTTGCTGATGGCGCGCTCGACAGTCGTGATCAAGGCAGTTTCGCCGCGGTGACGGCCGACGCCATTCCTGGCGTTCCCGAGCGCCTCGATCAAGGTGCCGCCCGCGAGCGCGAAGTGGAACCTCGTGAGCATCTTCGGGGGCGTCGCCAGCTAGTCGTGCCCATCGGGAGCTGCGCGGCGTCTGGTTGAAGGCACGTGAGCCTGAACCCTTGCAGCGCGCCGAGCAGCTGCCCGAGCCTCCAGAGACTCCACGCATGAGTGTCGCGAGAACCGAGGAGCCCAGAGATCAGGTATACCAGGGCGCCGCAGAACTTGAGCCGCGCAAAGAACAAGAGCGAATGGGGCGCGAGCGCCCCAGAAAGCAACGGTTTGACGAGGCCGCTGCAGAACGAGAGCGACTAGAGAAGCGGCTGGAACGCAGTCGTCGACGGCGATTGCGGTTCACGGGGGATGCAGGTCCATGGGAGTGAGCGCGTAGCAGGGGCAGAGCAGTGAGTGGTTCAAACACCTCTCTCTGTAGAGCTCTTCCCCGCCGCCTCCTTTGCCATCTTATCCTCCCCAAGGTCCTTTTTTTCCCCCCGCCGCTCCTCAGCAGAATGCAGCGTGCCGCGCCCAGCTGGATCAAGCATTTTTTGTTTGTTGTGGGATTGGGTGGGGGTGTGGGGCGGAGGGGTGAAAGGAGAGGCGAGGAGCTTGTGTAGGAACCAAGGGGAATGCGCAGCGGCCATTGTCCGAGAAAACCTTATGTGCCGAGATTCGCTCGAGGCGCACTGGGAGCTTCCATTTTGTGCGAGCAGATGCTCATGCCCTCCTTTTCGATAAGCTTGAATGGGCCCTCGGCATGTTGGCCTGGCCCAGTCTCCTCACAAGATTTGGCGCTTCTCGAAGCTGGAGAGGTCAGGTGTGCACCGCAGGAGCGCCAGACCTGAACGAGGTGGGGCAACGCAGGGGTTGCCTCGCGTCAGCGCTCCTGCCTTCGGTGCCTCCTCTCGCTTCCCTTGCTTTCCTCCTCAGAGTTCTCTCCCTCCTTCGACCATGCTTCCCAGCATCCAAGAGCAGACGTGGCGACAGTCGGGAGCTAGCCTCTAGAGCTTTCCCGAGGGAGGCGAGGTGATAGGCGTATTGGGGGATGGAGCGGGAGATCTTTTCAGTGCGCATGCAGGCCGCTTGGCCCGAGGCCAGAGCTTAGTTGGGGCGTGGCGAGCTGGCCAAGAGCCCAGCTTTAGCCCGAGTGCGGCAAGGGGGGCCCAGAGATATGAGAGTTTGGCGGAGTCAGCAGCAGGTGGGCAATTACAGTTTGGGGCACTCCCTCCCTTTCCCTCTTGCCTCGCGGTTTGACCGCGGCGACGAAGCAGGAACTGGGTCGGGCCGTGTCCCGTCTCTGTCTTCCTTCCCCGTCACCATCTCTCCCTCTCCCCCTCTCTCCCTTTCTGTTTCCCATTCGCCCTGAGCGGTGTGCAGTTGCAGTGGCAGCAGTAGCTCCAGTTCGGCGCTTCGGACCTTGCAGTGGGTTGGTTTTTGAAGAGGAGGAGGAACAGGAGGAGGAAGAGGAGGAAGAGGGGGAGGAGAAGGAGGAGGAATCGGAGGAAAATGATGGTGAGGATGAAGACTGGGGTGGGGGCTGGATGGGGGCGACTCGCATTTCTCACTGCCGTCTTGGTCGCCCTGGCACTCGCGCTCCCCGCTGCGCGGCCTGCCCTCCCCTGGGCGACGTGGGCAGCGCCCGGCCCCGACCCCGCCGCCGTCGTGGGGCAGGGGGAAACTGTGCGATTGGGGATTGGCGACCATGGCAGGAGGAGGAGGAGGAGGACGGGGGAGCGGGAGGGAGGAAAAAGGAGGAGGGGGAGGAGGAAACATGAGGGGGACGTGAGGAGGACCAGGAGGAGGATGAGGAGGGGGAGGGGGAGGAGGAGGAGGAGCAAGAGGAGGAGGAGGAGAGGAAAAGGGAGAGGACAAGGGAGAGGAGGAGGATGAGGAGGATGAGGAGGAGGAAGAAGAGGAGGACGAGGAAGAGGAGGAAGACGATGAGTTTGAGGAAGAGGAGGAGGAAGGAGGACAGGATGACGATGATGATGATGATGATGATGATGATGATGATGATGATGATGATGATGATGATGATGATGATGATGGTGCTGATGATGATGTTGTTGATGAAGATGATGATGACGATGATGACGAGGACGATGGTGAGGAGGAGGAGGAGGTGGAGTAGGAAGGATCGTGTATGAGGATTTGCAGGAATGTGTGAAAGGTGCAGGGAAAGGCAAGGGAGAAATATAATTGGAGGGGGGATATGATCAGAGGGAGGATGAAGTGGACGGGGGAAGGTGAGACAAGGCTGGGGAAGCTGTGATCGCTGAATAAGGGGGGTGGGGGGTGGGGGAGAGATCCGGGATGATGGAAGAGGGATGATGATGGTGATGGTGGACATGATTATCATGATGATGCTGATGTTAGGGATGACTACTATGATGATCATGGTAATACTGATGCGGATTTCGGGTGGCAATGGTGCCGCTATTCATTATGCTAATGAAATGGCCATCGCATGGGGATGATCGCGATGATCATGGTGACAATGGTGATGCTGATGGTGGGGATATTCATACTTCCGGCGATGACGACACACGATGACGATTCTGATGATGGTGATGATGATGACGGTGATGATGATGACGATTCTGATGATGGTGATGATGTCGATGATGCTGACGGTGGTGGTGCTGATGATGCTGCTGTTGATTCTGATGACGATGATGATGCGGATGAGGATGATTATGAGACTGATGATGATGATGATGATGGATGATGATGAGACTTAGAGTGATGAGGCTGATGATGATGATGATGAGAGTGAGGATGATGAGGGTGTTGATGATGATGGTGATGCTGATGATGATGATGATGATGACGATGCTAGTGGTGATAATGCTGCTGATGATGATGATTCGAGGATGAGGATGAGGATGACTATGACGACGATGATGATAACGACGATGGTGATGGTGATGATGATGATGACAATGGATATGCCGATGATGGTTCTGATGCTGATGATGCAGATGCTGATGCTGCTGATGATGCTGCTGCTGATGATAATGATGATGATGACGATGATTATGATGACGACGATGAGGATGATGCTGATGATGCTGTTGAGGATGATGAGGATGATGAGGATGGCTAGGATGATGGAGGTGAGGATGATGATGATGGTGACGAGTATGATGAGACTGAGGATGATGAGGATGGTGGGAGCGGTGAGGATATGATGATGCTGATGATGGTGACGACGATGCTGATGCTGATGCTGATGCTGATGATGAGGATGAGGATTCATGATGATTATGATGATGGTGATGGTGTTGTTGATGCTGCTGCTGGTGATGATGATGATTACGATGATGGGTGATAATGATGACGGTGATAATGATGATGACGATGAGGATGATGATGATGATGATGATGATGATGATGGTGATGGTGATGATGCTGACGATGATGACGATGCTGATTGTGCTGATGATGGTGAGATGCTGATGATGCTGCTGCTGCTGCTTATGCTGTTGCTGAGTATGATGATGATGACGACGAAGATGACGACGATGATGACGATGACGATGACGATGACGATGATGATGATGATGATGATGATGATGATGATGGTTATGATGATGATGTCGCTGCTGCTGATACTGATAATGTTGATGATGTTGATGATGACGAGGACGATGGTGATATGATGAGGATGATGAGGATGATGAGGATGATGAGGATACTGAAGATGATGAGGATGGCGAGGATGATGAGACCGATTGTTACGAGGATGAGTATGAGGATGAGGGTGATGATGATGCTGCCGCTGATGATGATGATGATGATGATGATGATGATGATGACGATGATGATGATCATGATGATCATGATGATCAGGATGATGAAGACAGTGGTGGTGGTGGTTGTTGTCGTGATGACTACGATGATGATGCTGGTGATGGTGATGCGCATGATGATGTGATGAGTGTGGCGATGGTTACGCCGATTATGATGATGATAACGATGGTGACGACGATGATAATGATTATGACTGTGGTCGGTGATGCTGACTATGAGCATAGGCGGCGCGCCCAGGGGGGGGGGAATCGAAAGGGGGCGACTTCCTCAGAAGGCTCAGAAGGCCTCTAGCCTCTCCGAGAAACTTTTCCAAGCCGTCTCCGAAGCCGCCAAGGACCTCTCAGAAGGCTGGAGGGCTTCCGAGAAGCTCCGCCGCCTTCTGAGAAGGCCTCCCCCCTCTCGTTTCCTCCCTTTGCGCGAGGCCGATCACGGTGGCCCGTTTCTGCCACTGATACTAGACATCGTGGGCTCGAGCACGGGCTCGCACTCTGCGTTTCGCCCTCGTCCACTTCGGCCGCCTTCTCGCCCTCGGCCCCCACTTACCCCCTCGGCGCGCCGCCGACCCGTGTCCTCGCTGTGATCGTCGTGCCGTGTGGCTCTGTTCGGCACCTGCTCCTGCTGGCCGACACTGCAGGCCCTCCGCTGGCCTTTCCCGCCATGAACTAACAGCCAGCGCCCATACCTGTGCGACCCCCTGATTTCTCAGGGTGGAATTCCTGGGGGGTGGGGGGGGGGGTCGCCATGAGTGTGTGTGTGTGTGTGTGTGCTGCCGGATGGGGGTCCCCGCTCGAAGGAGAGCCCCCCTTGGGGTCCTTGCCCTTCTCCATTCCTCTTCCCTACAGGAACCGCTGTTTTATCATTCGCAGTGACGCGCGTGACCGCCCTCGCCACCCCCCCTCCCTTCCCCTGGTAACGTGACCATTTGCGCCGGCGCCGTCTGGGAATGAGCAATCCCTGGACATTCCCAGACGGCGCCGGCGCGACTCTCGACGTGGCCGGCCTCCGCCTCCTTCCCCTTGGTCATGCCCGTTATCGCCAGGGGGTGAGAAAGCGCTCTGCTCTCTAGGTTTGAATGTGTGTTGTTCTCTCGTCGTTTCCGCCTGTCCTCCCGCCGCCCCCCCGCTCCTGGTCGGCGGCGGCGCACAGAGGGGGGCGGGGGTCTGGGCGAGGGGAGCCTCTCATGGGCATCGCTCGGCGGGGGCATAGGGCTCAGGGGGGGCTGCATCAAGCCCCACGCGCCCCTTCGTCGCCGGCAGGGGCCTGATAGCCAAGCCCGGCCAGGCACCTGCGCGTGACCCATCGGAGGCCTCTCGCCGATCCCTCGGCGATGCATCGCCGATTCCCGCTGGATGCGTCCTCCCCTGAGCTGGTACCCCCTGACGTTGCCCCTCCTCCATCGAGCCGCCAGTCCGCTCGGGGGCAGCTTCTCCCCCACCCCGGCCTCCTCGGAGGGCCGCCTCCCCCCCGCCCCTCCCCGCCGCGTGCGCCGCCGAGCCCTCTTCTCCAGCTCCCTCTCGCCCCTTTGTCCCGTGCTCCTGTGGTCTCCGAGCGGTGCCATCGACGCCGCTGCCGCAGCGCGTCGCATCTGTCCGCCGGAATGCGTGCAGCGCACGTGTGGCTTTCCGCGCGTAATTCGGCCTTTCCTGCGGCCCGTCCTCATCCTCGTCCCCGTTCCTGTCCCTCAGAACTTCCCTAGCAGCCTCTGCCCTCCCTCCTCCACCCTCTCTCCTCTCTGCTCTCTCCTCGTCCCTCCCTCCTTGGCCCGTTTTCATCCGCCCTTCCCCTCTCGCCTTCCCCTCTCTCCTTTCCCGCTTTCATCTTCTGCCATTCTCTCTCTTTGCCTGCTACCCTCGTCTCCCCCGTGCCTCCCTCCCTCTGTATGGTTTTCTTCTTCACACGCTCGGGATTGCAAGCCTTGTTCCCCACGTGCTTAGTGGGATTCTGGTTTTCTTCCCTGTCGCACCCGCGTCTACCTCCTCCCCTGCTGTTCCTTCTGGCCCTGCAGACACATACACACACAGAGACACACACACACACACACAGGCACACACATCCACACACAGACACAGCCGCACACACATTAGACACTTACACACCACACACCTCACAACACAGACACATATACAGACGTAAGGCACGGCAGGCGTGGCATATTCTCGACACCAGAGGGGGTGCGCAGGGGGTGGTCCCTCAGCGCGGCCGCTATCCGTCACGGTCGTCCAGGGCATAGGAGGCGTGGCATATTCTCGACACCATAGGGGGTGCGCAGGGGGTGGTCCCTCAGCGCGGCCGCTATCCGTCACGGTCGTCCAGGGCGTAGCACTCGTGGCATATTCTCGACACCAGAAGGGGTGCGCAGGGGGTGGTCCCTCAGCGCGGCCGCTATCCGTCACGGTCGTCCAGGGCATAGGAGGCGTGGCATATTCTCGACACCGTAGGGGGTGCGCAGGGAGTGGTCCCCCAGCGCGGCCGCTATCCGTCACGGTCGTCCAGGGCATAGCAGGCGTGGCGTATTTTCGACACCATAGGGGGTGCGCAGGGGGTGGTCCCTCAGCGCGGCCGCTATCCGTCACGGTCGTCCAGGGCATAGCAGGCGTGGCTTATTTTCGACACCAAACGGGGTGCGCTCAGACTGCTAGATATGTGAATGCGGGCGACCGCTGGTGATTTTCCGTCAGAAGTACGGTTCACGTCATGGTGCCCCAATGCGCCATGTCCGCGCTGCCACCGCCGTGCGAGCAGCTCAAGAAATCAATGCTAGAGATGGGCGCCGAGGTGACCCTGGATGGTTTGCGCGGATATGTCGCCAGGCATTGGTAGGTTTTGGCGCAATGCGCATTTCATGCCTACCACCGACAGCTGATGAACTGGTTGCGTGAGACGCTATTGACCAAGTACGACGAGTTGCCACGTAAACGAGCGCTGACGATGCTAGGAGACACATCTTGGTGAGGTACTTACTGAACCCTTCCTCGGGCGGGTTTCCGAGAGACGTTTCTTCCGATTTGCCCGGGGAGAACGGGGCGGGCGGCGGCCCGCCGCCAGCGAGGGTTCGGCGAGTGCAGGAGGCCGGCATAGCGGGCGCGGGATCGGTACCTTTTTCAGGACAGCGTGTCACTCCTACGATGGCCGCGCCCGCGAAGGCTACGCCAACAAAGGCTCCTCTTGCGCAGGCTTTCATCCCGCAGCAGTCTCCGGCAATTCTGTTGGCTTCTTCTGTTCGGTCCACCGGTGCGCCTCGCATGATGCCGTCCCCAGCGCCGGCAGAAGGCGTCTGCCGTCGAGAGCAGATCGACGATTTGCATGGGTGCGACGCTCGGGGCACGCGGGCCGACCCCGCGATCAAGGGCAGCATGGGCAGAGAGCCATGTCCTCAGCGTGATGGGCGGCCAGATCAGCTATGGCCATGCCGCGGTCAAGTTTAGCGACGAGAAGCTGAAGAAGACCGCCCCCAGCTCGCAACATAGCTTACTCATGCAGAAATGAAGTGATGATTCTAGTGGCTGTGTCGCGAGGCCACGCGAAGTCGGAAAGCATATCTATAACATCCGCAGGCGAAATCGACGAGTTGAGCACTCCAGTGAGCGGGCTCGTTCGGATTGTGTCTGGGCAGCTCGCGGATCTGAGGCAGTCTTCCGTATTGGTCTCGCTATTGTCAGGTGGAGGATCGATAGGTTTGTTTCGGCTAGTCCTCCGGACTACTGGCGGGATTTTTTCCATTCCTGCAACTGGCGCCGTAAAGCGTTTTTGCGGTTGGCGCCGTGGGGGGCCAACGTACCCTTGGAATGGAGCGAACTCCGTCAACCCAGGCACTTGCCGAATTCAGGTGAATTTATCCCCATTGCGGCTGGGCAATGTTCATGGTGTGGGTGGTTCGTATATCCTTTTCTGTAGTTGTGCGTTCGACTATATCAAGCACGACGGACTCGTTTGATCACCAGGCTCGAACGGTAGGTCTTCCCGCTTTGCCCGCTTCTCACCCAGCCTGTCCGCTGCCATTTGTGATCTGGGGCTTGGGGGATTTCCTCCCGCGCCCGCCTTAGACGCGCCTTAAATATCCCGCCTTAGACCATCACGCGCTGTACTCCTTCACGGGAAACAGCGCTTCCCATCCATATCCTCATGTCTACTCTCCCCCTTCCTATCGTGGGCGGGGTACGTAACCATGTCCACGGCCTTGCGGTTCAGACTTTTCGGCCGTGACCCCGTGTGCACAAAGCGGTTTTGAATGGGTGTCTCGCGCGGGACGCCCGCGCGCTTGCGTGTCCACGGGGTCGCGCCTCCCTGTCGAAATTGGAAAGGCATGGATATGGGCATGTTCGTCGCCCCTGATCTTGCAAGTGGCCACTTCGGCCACCGCGGCCGCCGCTCCGCCGTCCCCTGCACGAATGGAGCTGCCGGCCGGGCCTGGTTTTGCGCGTGCCGCAGAGCCGGGAACCCCCGGGGTGTCGCCTTCGCCGCCGTCGCGCACGCCGGGAAAAGTTGCGGCGGCATGACGGGTGGGCCCAGTGATCGGAAACGACGATAGGGACGAATAGCCGAAGGGCGGGCATCACACGTTTTCGCCGGAAAGCTTCGCTGAAAACGTGGACCGTCGGCGACCGTCGGCGCCGATGTATACATGTATTGCCACCCCAGCTTTCCGCCCCCTATCGTCGCCCACGAACAAATCGCGCGCAGGGCAGAGGGGAGGGGGCTTCTTTGGCACACGGCGCCCGTGAGGGTTGAAACCTTCCCCGTCATGATGGGTGAGCCGTAAATATGGGGGCCGGCTGGGGATCTGAGGTGGGCACGTAATATTGGTTCTGGCCAGCAGGAAGCGAGCTAGACGGCTTTCTGCTTTTTCCAGGCTCTGGGGGCCGCTCTTGGTCCTGGGAGGGTCAAGAACGGGTCCAGGATGAAAAACTCCACCAGATGGACCCCAAGAGGGGTCCGGGGACCGATTTGGAACAGATTTTGCTCCCTTCCCATCAAGCTCAGACCACCTGGCCGCTTCCAACGTTGGCACACGTGCCCCCCCCAATGTGACCAATGTGCCCATAGGGCTCAGCAGGGCCAGGGGCAGCGAAGGGGAGGAGGGAATGCGTGGGGCCTGGGTGCTCGCGTGTCGCCTCGGGTGGAAGAGGTGGTTGTCGGATTTCTTCCCGACGTGCTGTTCAACTGTTGCGGTGTCTTTGCGACTTGTATGTAACGGTGCCACTTGGTAGCTTAGCGTGGAATAATTATGTTGGTGTTGGTATGTGTAGTTGAGGTGTACGTGGTGGGCTTGGTTGTATTGGTCTCAGTGCTCCTAATGGTCATGTGGTTCGAGGAGGGCATGGCGGGCGTAGTGACCGTGGTGGACTTGGTCACCAGTGATCGCAGCTGGCGTAAGAGGTCATGGTGGTCATAGTGGTCGTGATGTTCTCAGTGATCTTCGTGGGCTTCGAGGTCTCGATGGTCCTTGAAATCGCAGCGGCACAGGGCGACGTGACAGCAGCCCGAAGCGGAGGTTTTAAGTCGTTGGGTGTATTCTATGGTTGATAGTGCTTGAGGACGGTTCTAGTTCGGCCACACGCAGAGGGGGTAGGGGGAAGGGGGAAGGCTTCTAAGAAGCCTTCCCCCTGCCCCTACCTACCTCTGCGAACCGCCAACCAGCAGCAGTTAACTCCTCACGGCACGTTCCGCCGACCCTGAGGAGAGCGACGACGACGGCGACGGTTGGGAGCAATCGCAAACGTTTTTGCGCAAGTTTCGCTCTGGGAGTCTCTTAGAGGCCTCTCGGAGCCTTTCTTGGGTTTTCTCTCGCAAGTTTCTGGGAGCTTTCGGAGTCTTCCTGGAGGTCTCTTGAGAAGTCAGGGGAGCATCGCGTAGGCAGTTTTGAGACCTCTTGGGGCTTGTTGGGGGCAGTTAGGAAGCTTCTTGGGGATCGTTCTTAAACCTCTTGGGGGTTTCTCGGGGGCCTGCTTGCGATCTCGGGGTCATCTAGGGGCGAAGACCTCGCAATGTCAGTTCAAGTTCTTTGTCCTGAGCCCCTCTAGGAGTCTTCTTGAGGCCCTCTGGGGCCGTCTTAGGGGCCTCGTGGCAACTTTTGGGGCCCTCTTGCGCAGTCTTGGGGCCTTCTTAGAAGACTCTTAGGCAGTTTTTGGCCGATCTCTGGGGCCTCTTGGGCAGTCTGGGACGCTGTGAAGACGAGAAAAGCGAATATGCTAGAAGAGTATGTTTTCCCTGAGGACTGGGACGGTTTTGTTTCTCGGGGCCCTCGTGGGGATTCTCCTGGGGCCCTCTTGGGACGTCTTGGAAGCCTTTTGGGCTGTCTTGAAGCCATTTTGGGTGTCTCGGAGCGCTCTGAGGCCGTCCCGGGACCTATTTGGACTGTCTCTAGGGCTCCGTTTCACCCAATAGTCTCCGTTTCACCATTTCTGGCCTTCGGCCCATCCCGTCACGGTGCTTGGGTTGTGGATCAGAGTTCGCAGGGATGCTTCTTCGGGTCTCTTCGGAGCGCTCTCGGGGGCCTCTTGTAGGCAATTGTGGGGCCTCTTGGGAGCCTCTTGGGGGCCTCTCGGGGGCCTCTCGGGGGCCTCTTGGGGCCTCTTGGGGGCCCCTCCGGGCCAAGGGCTCGACATGTTTGTTCGGGTCCCCATTTGGGCCCCCTCTTGGAGCCGTCTTTGGGGCCTCTTGGGCCGTCTTGCGCGCCGCTTGGGCCGCCTTGGGGCCCTCTTGGTCCGTTGTGGGGCCCTCTTGGGGGCCTCTTGGGCCGCCTGGGGGCGATCTTGGGGCCCTCTTGGGCTGTCTTGGGCGCCTCTTGGGCCGACTTGGGGCCCTCTTGGTCCGTCTTGGGGCCCTCTTGGGGGCCTCTTGGGCCGCCTGGGGGCGATCTTGGGGGCCTCCAGGGCCGTCTGGGAGCGTCGGGCGAGAACAACTTACAAACACCTCAAGAAAATCAATGATTTTAGTCTCTTGGGGCACTTTTGGGCGGCCTCTTGGGGGCTTCTGTGGGCGTCTTGGACTGTCTAGGGGCTATCTGGGGCGTCTTGGAGCGATATTTCGACGTCTCTAGGCCCAATTGGACCATCTCGGGAGTCTCTTGAAGCTCTCTTGGCTCGTTTTGGAGCCCTCTTGGGCCCCTTACGAACCCTCGTGATCGAGGATTCAGGCTCAGGGGACCAGGCAGTGGACCCGAGGACACGCCCACTCCGTGCCCAGCGGCACTGTAGCGGATTAATGTGGAGGAGATAGACCCCTCCCCGAAGGTGACGAAGGGGGTTGAAAACGCCCTTGAGGGCGGGTGGGATTCGGGTCGTCGGTGGTCTGGGAGTGGAAGAGGAGCTTAACTGCTTGCTCTGTTCATCCTCTTCGTCCGTAGCCGTTGTGGCTTAAGGTAACGGTGCCTCGCTTACGCACAAGAAACAGGTGGCTCTGCTCAGGCCCCCCCGCACAGTGGCCCGCCGCTGCGCGTCTCCATACCAGGCAGGTGCCGACCAGTCTGCCATGCCTTTCGAGGAGGAGGAAGAGGAGCCCGAGGCGTACCAGGGGGCGGGTCTCCGATTCGGTGAGCTGAGCAAGCTGACCCCAGTGCTCATAGTCATATCAACCATCGTGTCTCTCTACATGGAGTACGTCGTGCTGCACTGCCTGCGCCTTCTGCAGCTGGACCTGCCCCCAGACCTGAGAGACACTGACGACGAGAAGCGCGGCTACTGCGAGCTCGCGGTCTTCCACATGTTCACTGGCCTGCTGCTGTACTGCTTGGCGAAGTGCTTCCTGACATTCCCGGGGACGATTCCCGACGGTGGCGCCTGGGACATGCGTGCTGGCACTGCAAGCACCCAGAGGGCGCCGGGGGCCCCCACCAGCCTGCCGCTGCTCGAGAAGAAGTCCGGGGGAGAACGGCGGCACTGCAAGTGGTGCCAGAAATTCAAGCCCGACCGCACGCATCACTGCCGCGTCTGCAACATCTGCGTGCTGAGAATGGACCACCACTGCCCGTGGGTCTACAACTGCATCGGGTTTCGCAATCACAAGTACTTCTTCCTGTTGGTGTTCTACGCGGAGATCGATTTGCTGTACATCAGCGCCACGATGCTGGAATCTGTCTGGTGGGCTACCAGGACGGACGTGACCCTGGAGATGCTGTTCCTGCTGACGCTCGGCGAGGCTTACGCCCTCCTCGTCTCGGTGGCCATCGGGACCTTCCTGATCTTCCATGTCTGGCTGATGGCCAAGGCCATGACAACGCTCGAGCTCTGCGAGAAGCAGGCGAAGAAGGTGAGCGGGGGCTTCTTCGGCGCCCTCACGGGCAGCTCTTCTGCCTACAGCCAGGACTCCTACAGCAACGTCTGCGAGGTCCTCGGCGACAACCCGCTCCTTTGGCTTCTGCCCTGCGCTCTGCCCTCCGGCGACGGCATGACTTTCGCGCGGAGGGAGCCTGCGGCACTGGTGACCCGGGGATAGGTGGGGGGCCTGATGCCTGGCAGCGGGGTTCCTGGTGGATGCCTTGGCCCGTGTGAGTGTGTGGTTCTCAAGTATGTAGTTTACCGTCGTCGTCCTCCTCTTTCTCCTCCTCCTCGTCCTGGCAGCCGAGCTCTGCGATGATGGGGGCGCCCCCAGAATTATCACTAGACCGCGTGACGTTGGCCTCATTGGAGCACATGCCATGCCATGCCATGCCATGCCATGCCATGCCATGCCTCGTCCTCGTCGTTGTCGTGCTAGCTTCCGGAACGCGGGGGGGGTCGCTTCCGAGGGGCGAGAAAGATGGGATGCGGGGGTGCTTCCGGCAGGGCAGGTCCAAGGGGGGGGGGTAGCTGAGGGGGTGCCCTCCCCACCTTTCGGGGTGCGCCTCGGGCGCGCTCTCGCCCTCCTTTCGATAATACAACTTTTTCCTCTTGCTCCGCATCCTCCACACCTACATTTATTCAGTCGGAGTATTCGTCGTCTCCTTCCCCCCACAGATGGCCAGGGCCTGGGAGTATCGCGCCCCCGTCAGCGCGTCTACGCGTAGGATGGGCCGTTTTGTTGTTGTTGTTGAGGGGGGGTCACATCTTTTTCGACTCCGAGCGTTCTCGGTCCTTCTGAACTGTGCTCTCGCTGCCGTGTGGGTTCTTTTTTGGATCGAGGCTTCGCTCCCGTCACTCAGAATTGTGCCCTCGCCGAAACGCGAACTACTTTTCTGGGCTCGAGCCGTTCGTCACTGCTGCCTCTCCCCTCCTTCCCCTCCTTCCTCGCTCCCCCCTCTTGCTCGCCCCGCTCCTCCCGTTCCATTCCAGTGCGTTTCGTCCCTCGTTCCTCACCCGCCTCTTCCTCCTGCGGATCCTCTCGGGGGCGGAAAAGAGGGGGGTGATGACTAGGGGGGGGTGGATATCATGGCGGGGGTCATGATATTTCCCCAGATTTCATGGCGCCTCTTCTTATTTCATTACGTCCCTGGCCCCCCCGCTGGGCCGCGCACATGCCGCCGGTCATGATTTGCACCCCCCCCTCTTGGACACCCCCCTCTTGGCCGCTCCCGATCCTCCTCAGCCGCCACCTCCTCCTATGTGTGCAGCTCCCGTTGTTCCGATTGCGCATCACACGGCGCTCTTCACTTCCAGGTCTTGCGCTATTATGACACACGTCTGCGGAACACCGAGAACACACCCACGCAGCGGGAAAGGATCGGTGATGTGGGGGGGACGATGCCAGATATGGCGCGAGCGCACCTATCACCGAGCGCGTTCCACTACTCGCAGAGTGCCTACTCGCAAAAGTCCGAGAAGAACATGTCTGCTTCGACGCAAGTTGCCGTAGATCCCCCGTGGCGGATCCGGGCCACTCGCGAGCAGTTACCTCGCGAGCAGCGGAACGCGCTCGTCTGACCCAGTTTGCCCCCCTCCCTCCCTCCCCGCCCCTCCCTCCCCGCCCCCACCCCCCCCCTTCCCCCCTCCCCCCCCCCACCCCACCCGCCCCCACCCCCCGCCCCTCCCCGCACCCACCCCCAGTTTGCCCCATCCCGCCCTCCCCCCCCGCCCCCTCCCCGACCCCTCCCCGTCCCCCCCCCGCCCCCCGCTGCGTGCCACCGTCGGCCCACGGTCTGCACGCACGAAATGGGTACGGTAGGTCTGCGTCGTGTCGACCAGCAGCGACCCCAGCGCGGGCGTTCAAGGTTGAACGCCGCCGGCGACCCAGAATCGATCGATGTTGAACGATCGGACGTTGCGGCAGCGGCCGATCGTTCAAGGTTGAACGATCCAGCGCGGTGTCAGGAACCAACGCCAGGGTCGACACGGCACGGACCTGCAGTACGGAAATGATGCCGATTCCGGTGCTCGTCCTGGAGGGTCATCGTGCGGTCGGAGTCTCATGACAGCATGGTCCTGGCAGTTTCGCTGCACGTCTGCGTTTCCCACACGCACCAGATCCAAGAGGCCGTGGCCTCCCCCCCCAGCTATCTGGACGCCCGAAACGGGTACGGAAGAAAGAATGGGCAGGATGCCCAACAGCAATCCCTGTTCCTTCTGAACAGGATTCGCTGTCCACGCCGCCGCGGCCTGTGTCCATTCGAGACAGAAGGCCGCCTGCCCAACAGCGGCCGCTGTTGGCTTGGGACAACATTTGCTGTTGGGCGTTGTACCCATTCTTTCGGTACCCATTTCGGGCGTCCAAACTGTCGGCCCACGGGCTGAGGTTCGCACTTCGGAGGTCGGTGGACCTCCCACCCCGACATGTCGATCCAGGAATTGGCCGTTTTCGCGGGGGCGCCGCGGCCGTTCTTTTTGCGGGCCCAGGTCCGTCGGTTTCGGTCCTAGGCCGCTTTCACTACAGGGAGGTTTACTCAATGGAGTTTTGTCCACCGCCGAGATTCGTATTTGGTTTTCAGTATTTCGACGCGCCAGCGTTGAGTCGGGCATGTCCCTCTACAGGAGGAATATATTCAAAAGTAGTCCAAAAGGAGTCTGGCCAGGTTTTTTGGATTATTTTTGAGCATTATTCGTATATTTTTCGGACAATCTTTTATTTTTCGTTCAAACTTCGCCTGTAGGGGGACATGCCCGACCTAATGCTAAGATTCATATTTTTTCAGTACTTCGACGAGCCAGTGCTAGGCTGTCCGCGCCACCATCGCCCACGCCGTTGAGCGTGACGTGCCCGCGCGGGCGACCCTGGCCTTGGCCAGTCCGGCCCGTAGTTTTGAGCAAATGGTAACGGCGCGATCCCAATCCCAATCTTCCTCCCAACCGCAGTGCGCCACCGGTCGAGGCTTCGGGGCGTTTCGGTCGGTTCTCGGCGGTTTTCCAGGTTCGGGACGTGCTCCAGCAGCTGCGCCTCGCCGGGAGTTGTCCCAGGGAGCTCGGACCGTCCCGAGCTGCCGCCGGAAACCTGCATTTGGAACCAAAAACCGAGGTCGGGGTTCGTTCCAGCGATCCGAGGCGGCCCACTGCATGCACGGCGATGTCGTGTAGCCGGGCGCAGCCGACCCTCGTGGGCGAAAATCCGAAGCTGCGGCCCCGCGGGCCCCGCCTCTCTGGGCCCCGACCTTCGCGAAGACGGGGCGTGTTTTCGCGGAGGCTCTGCGCGGAGCGTGCCCTCGGCAACACCCCAACATACTTATACTATATGTGCGTCGCCCCCCCAGGGGCGACGCGCGCACCGAGAAATCTTATAGTATATGCGTCGTGGCGTGCGCTTTCTGGCCACACCGCTCGGGAAACGATATACTACAAGATGGGTATACTACATATTCGGGTCGGACGCGCGCCTCCAAGGAGGACACATAGTATTAGTATGTCTCTGTGCGTCCCATGCCCGTGCGGCCGCGTATCGGCGGGAACGCGGCCCGGAATCTAGATCGCGCTGGCGCGGATACGGACATCTTCGCCGCTCGTGAGATGCGATTCGATTCCGAGTTTTTGCCGATCAGGCCTGATCGGCGCCTCCCTGGGCCAGCTCCCCTCCCCAGGCCCACTCCTGGCGAGCCCCCAGGGCCAGAGAACAGCCCTCCCCGGGAGGCCAGAATAGGGGAGCCCTGCAATCCGACGCCGCGAAGCAACTGCAAACCAGCGAAAACCAAGGACGGAACCCCGTGGAGATCGTTCTCTTATTCATTGTTTTGCCGAACGGCGCGGGCCCTCGCACCGCCTCTCTGGCCCCCCCATGGAGTAGATCTTAGCTGTTTTCGGCTCCCGTTTCAAGCAGGTGGGTTTTCCCCCGTAGGACGCACTGTTGCAAACAGTCGCGTGAAGCAGGGGTCCAGAGCCAGAACCCCCCCCTCCCCCCCCCGCTTCCCCCCAATGTCGAAACGCCGAATAAGAAAACGTTCACATGGATCCCGGCCTCGATGACCGATCTCCAGCAAACTTCGGGCCGAACGAAAGACGGGATAGGGAAAGAGGGGGGTACGAAATCTGCTGCACGCAGCTGGTTTCGGCCCCGTCGCCGGGTCCATCCCTCGACACATGGGCGCCTCCTGGCACCGGGAGGCCCTGGGAAAGGCAGCTGCGTGAGCTGATTCTCTACCCTACCCTTTGCTATCCCCCCCTATCGATTCCCCCGATAATCCCTGTGTGCGCGCCCCCGAAATACGTATCTGGGATCGAGGGATCGCGTCGCATCGCCTTGGTACATCGGGGATGCGGCGCGACCTTCCGGACCCACTCTGGTCCGGCCACTTTGCTATCCTCCCTTTTCGTTCCCCCCTGCCCCCCAAAGTCAAACTTGGCACGCGCGGGGGAGACTGCGGTCGAGGTGCAACTCATCAGACCCACCGCCAACTTTGAACATTGGGGGGAGGGGGAGGCGTGGACAGATGAATGTGGCATGAGTGTTCGCTATTTTTCCCGAGGCCTGGACGGGAGGTTTTTCGGTGCTATCGGTTTCCGTGGGCCCTCACTGGGCCCCGGGACCGTCAAGAAATGGCTCAGGATGAAAAGCCAGTCTCTTGGAAGGGGTCCAGACCTCTGAGGGTCACGCCGTGAAAAAATCACGACGTCGGGTGTGTGGGGTCGGCGGCGAGCGAGGGGGGGGAAGTGAGAAGGGGAAGGCCCTCTGAGAAGGCGGCGGGGCTCTCAGAGGCCCTCGCACCTTTTCCGAGGTCTGTATCCCCCCCTTTCGTCGTTCGTTCCCCCCGAAAGAAAGCCGACCCCTTCGGTGCCCACCCCCTCGCCTCGCTCCGAGGCGTGGGCAGGCGGCGCGAGGGGAGCCCCGAGGGCGAGGGCCTCGCCACGCCAGCGGCTCGTCACGGAGGGAGGCGGTGAGGTCGCGCCCGACAGTGCGGCACCTCTCGTCGTCGGGGAGCCCCGGGGGGGTGGACGCTCGAATTCGGCGGCGAGCGAGGGGGGGGGGGAAAACGAAGCTCATGACAGGAGGTCTTTCGCGCAGTTTTCGGCCTCCGGGGGCTCTCGCTGGGCCTCGGGACCGTCGAAAAACGACTCAGGAATTCAAATCTGGTCCCAGAGAGAGGGTCCAGACCTCTGGGGGTCGGCGCGTTGTGACAGAGATCGCGACGTCGGGGGCCGGCGGCCAGCCTGGGGGGGAAGTGAGAAGGGGTGGGCCTTCTCAGAAGGCCCGGAAGTCCCTCGGGGGTGGACAGACCTCCTACCCTGACACGTCGATTAGTGAATTGTCCGTTTTCGGTTCTCGAGAGGGCGCCGCGGCCGTTATTTTCCAGGCTTTCGCTCGCCAGGTTTGGGCCCGAGGTCGTTTTCACTAAAACACGTTCTACTAAAGGGAGGTCTGTCCATCCCCGAGTCCCCCGGCCTCCTGAGAAGTTTTTCGAGCCTTCTCAGAAGGTGCGAGGGCTTCTGGGAAGCCCCGCCGCCTTCTGAGGGGGCCCTCTCCTTCTCGCCGCTTCTCGCTCCCCCCCCCATCGCCCGCCGACGATCTCGAGCCGGATCCGTGAGGGTCCCTGGTCCCGAACCAGAGCGAAAATGCCCGGCGTGAAATCACTGCGACGCCCCAGACGTCGGGCGCGCCGATTTTTTTCGAGGCGTGGCCACCCCGACTTGTCGACCTCTCCCCCAGGTCCGGCTTTTCGCACTGATTCGTTTTCTGACAGTCCGAGGCCCGAAACCTACACCAGAGGTCAAAACTGGTGATAGACCTTACTTTTTTTTTTTTTGTTTTTTTTTTTTTTAGTTTTTTTTTTTTTTTTTGGGGGGGGGGCGCCAGAAGGCTGGGACCAGGGGTCGAAGTTCGACCCCCGAACTTATCCTTGGATGCACTCTGACCAGAATCTCGAGGCGGACCCAGCCGTGGTGACGAGGAGCCATCCCAGAGTCCCCCAAAGAGGGAAAGTCGTTCAAACAGGGGAACCAAGGGCGCCCTCGAGAGCGCGAAGTTTTTCGCGCTTCGTGCTTCGCGGTTCGGCTCCGATTCCTCCTCTTGTTCTCTTCTGGGGTGCGGCGCGAGGCGCGAAGCCACTCGTGCTTCGCGCTCCGCGCAGCGCGAAGCGCGAAGTTTCGGCGCCCGTGAGGAACAGACTCGACCCGCGCGCAGTTCGAACGTCGAGAGCTCCGGATGGGAAGATCCACTCCGCAAGAGGTGGCGGCGCCCACGAGGGCGAGGCGCGATAGGGGGCGTCCTTCCAAGAAGGTGTGGGGGGGAGGAGGAGGAGGAGGAGGAGGAGGAGGAGGAGGAGGAGGAGGAGGAGGAGGAGGAGGAGGAGGAGAGGAGGAGGAGGAGGAGGAGGAGGAGGAGGAGGAGGAGGAGGAGGAGGAGGAGGAGGAGGAGGAGGAGGAGGAGGAGGAGGAGGAGGAGGAGGAGGAGGAGGAGGAGGAGGAGGAGGAGGAGGAGGAGGAGGAGGAGGAGGAGGAGAGAGGAGGAGGAGAAGGTCCACAGGGCTCCAAGGAGGCCTCCCAGAAGCCTCCAGTTCCCTGGTTGAGCAAGGGCGCCTCGAGGGCGCGGAGTGATTCGCGCTTCGCGCTTCGCGGCTCGGCGCCGGCTCCTCGCCCTCATCTCCCCTGTGGGGGCGGCCAACGAGCGTCGAGAGCTGCGCTCGGATCCCACGTTGCGAGAAGTCGCGGCCGGAGCCCCAGACCCATCTCTCTGCGACGCTTGCCGAGCTGGCTCGATTCGTGATGGCTCGCTGGCCCGACACCGGGCGAAGACGCCCGCTGTGAAAAATCGTAACGGGTCTGGATTTGGGGGGCAACATGCGAACCCTACCCCTACCCCCCACGATTTCTGATGGGGGAGGGTGGGGTTCACTTCGTTCGGGAGCTCTCGAGCGAAGTGAACCCCACCCTCCCCCTCAGAAATCGTGGGGGGTAGGGGTGGGGTTCGCACATGGTCCCCTATGGATTAGAACGAGCCAGTCCGCCGGAGGCCTGGTCCGCTGCCCCCCCCGCCCTGGGGGTCTGGGGGGGGCTGCGCGCGGCCCGATGCCGCGGGGCTCCACGCCGATGGCGGACTGCTCCGACTCGGTGTCGACGGAGTTCCGACCGGCCTCCGCCGCCGCCTCTGACGCTGCCGCTTTCGCCGCCGCCGCCGTTGTCGTCGTCGTCGTCGTCGTCGTCGTCGTCGTCGTCGTCGTCGTCGTCCTCCTCCTCCTCCTCCTCCTCCTCCTCCTCCTGCTTCCTCCCTCCTACTCGTCCTCCTGCCTCCTCCCTCCTCCTTCCCCTCCCTCCGCCCTCCTTCCCCCTCCGCCCTCCTTCCCCTTTCTTTTCTCCTTCTCCCTCCTCCTCTCTGCTGCTACGCAGCGCCACTGGACGGCGGAAGTCCCTGAGTCGCGACGCGTTGCGCACCGCGCGCCCGCGGGCGCGCTTCCGCAGCTGGCGCGGAGGCTCGCTCGTGCGCCAGTCTACATCTTTCCTGGAGGGAGGGTCAGGGGCAACGATTGGACGCTCTAATTCGGCGGCGAGCGAGGGGGGGGGGGAAGAGAAACTCATGACAGGAGGTCTTTCGCGCAATTTTCGGCCTCCGGGGGCTCTCGCTGGGCCTCGGGACCGTCGAAAAACGACTCAGGAATTCAAATCTGGTCCCAGAGAGAGGGTCCAGACCTCTGGGGGTCGACGTTGTGACAAAAATCGCGACGTCGGGGGCCGGCGGCCAGCCTGGGGGGGAAGTGAGAAGGGGTGGGCCTTCTCAGAAGGCCCGGAAGTCCCCCGGCCTCCTGAGAAGTTTTTCGAGCCTTCTCAGAAGGTGCGAGGGCTTCTGGGAAGCCCCGCCGCCTTCTGAGGGGGCCCTCTCCTTCTCGCTGCTTCTCGCTCCCCCCCCTTCGCCCGCCGACGATCTCGAGCTGGATCCGTGAGGGTCCCTGGTCCCGAACCAGGGCGAAAATGCCCGGCGTGAAATCACTGCGACGCCCCAGACGTCGGGCGCGCCGATTTTTTTCGAGGCGTGGCCACCCCGACTTGTCGACCTCCCCCCCAGGTCCAGCCCGTCCTCCTGAGAGGGCCCTCTCCTTCTTGCTCCCCCCCCTCGCTGTAAAACAGGGCTAGGATCGGGATAAATCGCTCCAGAGCGTTCCGGAGCGCTCTCAGAGCGTTCCGGCACGCTCTGGAGCGGCCGCGGCGCCCGGTACATCCTCCAAGCCCGCCGATCCTCAGAGATTTCGAGTCAATCCCGATCCGATTTCGTCCCGATCTTCGCGTCGTTTTCTCGCCGACGGCGAACTGCTCGCGAGAGCCCCCTCCCAGGCCCAGGGAGGGCGGGGGGTCGGTCGGCGCCGCCGCGGCGCCGGTCGGCGGGGCCGCGGGGCTCCTGGCGTGTGCTCGGCCTCCCGGCCGTCCCAGGCCTCCTCGCGCCGCGGGAGAGACTCGGCGGTCGAGGAAAAAACAAAAAAAAAACAAAAAAAATAATGTAAAAAACAAAAAAAACCAAAAAAAACCAAAAAACAACAACAACAAACAAAAAACCCGCCCCTGCCCCCCAAAGTCAAACTCGACGGTCGAGGGAGAGGCAGCCGCGTGAGCTGATTCTCTGCCCTACCCTTTGCTATCCCCCCCCTATCGATTCCCCCGAGAATCCCTGTGTGCGCGCCCCCGAAATGCGTATCTGGGATCGAGGGATCGCGTCGCATCGCCGTGGTACATCGGGGGTGCGGCGCGACCTTCCCGACCCACTCTGGTCCGGCCACTTTGCTATCCTCCTTTTCGTTCCCCACCTGCCCCCCAAAGTCAAACTTGGCACGCGCGGGGGAGACTGCGGTCGAGGTGCAACTCATCAGACCCACCGCCAACTTTGAACATTGGGGGGAGGGGGAGGCGTGGACAGATGAATGTGGCATGAGTGTTCGCTATTTTTTCCGAGGCCTGGACGGGAGGTTTTTCGGTGCTATCGGTTTCCGTGGGCCCTCACTGGGCCCCGGGACCGTCAAGAAATGGCTCAGGATGAAAAGCCAGTCTCTTGGAAGGGGTCCAGACCTCTGAGGGTCACGCCGTGAAAAAATCACGACGTCGGGTGTGTGGGGTCGGCGGCGAGCGAGGGGGGGGAAGTGAGCCGATGATGAGCGACAGAAGAAAACAGGTTCGATCAGGGGCAGCGACAGTGGGGATAGGCATAGGGGGGTACGCATCGACCCCCCAATCGCCCGTTGATCGCCAATAGGGGTCTGATATCCCCACCCCGCCCAGGGAGGTGCGGATTTGCTATCGGTGGCCTATTGCCGATCAATCGGCGACGTATCGGCGATTCCAGGTCGATGTCCCCCCCCTGTGCCAGTCCCCCCCCCCTTACGTTGCCCCTCAGAGAAGAAAGGCGGGGGGGGGTCTCACCCTCACAGTGCATCCAGGGTTGCCTAGGGTGTCCCTGGCCCGAGGTGCCCCCCAGCGGTTCGCTTCGTTTTGAAGCCCCTGGGGCCCTCTGGGCCTCGTGATGGGTGCTCTGGAGGCCGTGGGGGCCGCCCCCATGGAAACCCTTGGGCCAGTAGGGTGTGGCAGATCCTAGAACTCACCGGGAACACCCCCAGCTCGCCGTTCTGGCGGGCAGAGTCCGAGTGAGGGCGGAACAGGAGCGGATGTGCCGTTGCGAGCCGTCCGGAGTGAGGCCGTCCGGCCCGCCCTTGACGGCCCCAGCGATTGCCCCCCTGCTCAGAGCTCGGGCCAGCCAGTCAGCAGTGACAGGGACGGACCCGCCCCCGAGCGTAGTGCTGAGGCCCCCATCGCCCGCCGCCCTGCGCCCAGGGCTGGCGCTGACATTTCTGTTCTTTTGGTTCCTTCCACGCTGCTGCGCACTTCGCCGAGAACTTCCCGGGGCGCTTGACTCGCCCCGGCCGGCCGCGGCCGCCCCGAGCTGCCCCACCGACGGAGGATTTGCGAAGCAGAGGAGGTCGGCGACGAAGCCTGGAGATGGATTCGGACCAAAGGTTTCGGTGTCGACACGAAACGCAGGCCCTCGTCGCCACGGCTGGAAATCGGTACTCGGGTGCAAGGTGCTGTGCGCGTAGACTGCGCGCCGCGGCCCAGACGGGGCGGCGCCTGGCAACCCGCTTTGCGCCCCGCCGAGACTGCGGTGACACGGCCGCAGGGTGGTGCCGACGGGCGTCGCGACTGGTGCCCCCCGCCGTCCATGGTCGCTTCTCCTCGCCCCCTTGCCCAAGCGGCGACGAACGCTGGCAGCTCTAGCGCCGAGGATTGCCACAGCGCCCCCCAGGACGGGGAGCGTGCCGCCCCCGTCCCAGGTGTCTTCTGCCACGACCCCCTCAGTGCCAACGGACCCCTGACGACGGGCCCTCTGCGTGGTTTCTTTTCGTGCCCGCCCGCCAAACTCTTGGCAGGGGTGTTGCGCTTGGGTGTGGCTGCTGCGGCCCCTGGCCGCCCAGGTGCCCAGATCGGAGTCGGCCGCTTGACAGCGTCTCTAGTCCCCGCGCGCATGCCTGTCTGCGGTTCCCGCGCGTCGGCCGTGCGCTCGCCCGAGACGACCGTTTTTTTTGCGCAGCGAGCGGAGATCGTCGTCCTCCTCGTTTCTCCGACGTGCCCCTCCTTGGTCTCCTCGTTCTCTTGCTTCTTCCGCCTCCCCCCCACCCTCCCGGCGAGGGGGACATGCGGAGCCGCCCCGAGTCCACGGACTTGCGGAGCCAGCCGACCCCGGGCATGTCCGAGAGGCTGCCGCGGGGATCCTCGTCGTCGTCGTCGTCGTCGTCGTCGTCGTCGTCGTCGTCGTCGTCGTCGTCGTCGTCGTCATCTTCGTCATGATGATGATGGTGATGCTGCTGCTGCTGATGATGATGATGGTGATGCTGCTGCTGATGATGCTGCTGCTGATGCTGCTGTTGCTGATGATGCTCATAATGATGCTGCTGCTGATGTTGCTGCGGATGCTGCTGGTGATGATGCTGATGCTGCTGCTACTGATAATGATGATGATGCTGATGTTGCTGCTGATGATGGTGATGATGATGATCAGGATGATGCTGCTGATGATAATGATGATGATTCTGATGATGATCCTGTTGATGATGACGATGATGATGATGGTGATGCTGCTGCTGATGATGATGACGATGACGATGACGATTCTGATCATGATGCTGATGATGATGCTGCTGATGCTGCTGCTGATGATGATTATGGTGATGCTGCTGATGACGATGATGCTGATGCTGCTGCTGATGATGCTGCTGCTGATGATGCTGATGATGATGCTGCTGCTGCTGATGACGTTGCTGCGGATGCTGCTGGTGATGATGCTGATGTCGCTGCTGATGATGATGATGCTGCTGGTGATGATGTTGATGCTGCTGCTGATGATGATGATGATCAGGATGATGCTGCTGCTGATGATGATGGTAATGATAATGATGATACTCATGATGATGATGATGATGATGATGATGATGATGATGATGATGATGATGATGATGATGATGGTGATTATGATGGTGATGCTGCTGCTGATGATGATGATGGCGATGATGACGACGATTCTGATGATGATGATGCTGATGATGATGCTGATGCTGCTGATGATGATGCTGATACTGCTGCTGCTGCTGATGATGATGATGATGATGATGCTGATGCTGCTGCTGATGATGCTACTGCTGATGAAACTGACGATGATGTTGCCGCGGATGCTGCTGGTGATGATGGTGATGATGCTGCTGCTGATGATGATGATGGTGATGCTGCTGCTGATGATGGTGATGATGATGATCAGGATGGTTCTGCTGATGTTGATGATGACGATGATGACGCTGATGATGCTGATGATGATGATGCTGCTGATGATGATGATGCTGATGCTGCTGCTGATGATGGTGATGATGACGATGCGGATGATGCTGATGATGATGATCATGATGCTGTTGGTGATGATGCTGATGCTGATGATGGTTATGATGATGATGCGGCTGATGCTGCTGATGATGCTGATGATGATGCTGCTGATGATGATGCTGATGATGATGATGATGATGGTGATGCTGCTGCTGATGATGCTGATGCTGCTGCTGATGATGCTGCTGCTGATGATGCTGCTGCTGATGATGCTGCTGCTAATGATGATGCTGCTGCGGATGCTGATGATGATGCTGCTGATGATGAGGATGATGCTGATGATGATCATGATGATGAGGATGATGATGATGATGGTGATGATGCTGCTGCTGATGATGATGCTGATGCTGATGCTGATGCTGATGATGATGGTAATGATGATGATGCTGCTGATGATGATGCTGCTGCTGATGATGTTGCTGCGGATGCTGCTGATGATGATGCTGATGCTGCTGCTGATTATGGTGATGCTGATGCTGCTGATGATGATTATGATGATGCGGATGCTGATGATGATGATGCTGCTGATGATGAGGATGCTGCTCATGATGGTGATGATGATGATCTTGATTATGATAATGACGATGATGATGATGATGATGATGATGATGATGATGATGATGACGATGCTGATGGCGGTGATGCTGCTGATGATGATGCTGCTGCTGATGATGATGATGATGGTGATGCTGCTGCTGATGATTATGTTGATGATGACGATGACGCTGATGCCGATGAAGATGCTGCTGCTGATGATGATGTTGCTGCGGATGCTGCTGGTGATGATGTTGATGCTGCTGAGGATGATGCTGATGCTGATGATGATGATGATTGTGATGCTGCTGCTGATGATGATACTGATAATGCTGATGATGATGATGATGATGATGGTGATGATGAAGATGATGATGATGATGATGATGATGATGATGATGATGATGATGGTGATGATGATGATGATGATGATTGTGATGCTGCTGCTGATGATGATGCTGATGCTGCTGCTGATGATGATGATGGAGACGATGGCGAGGCCGATGATGATGATGATGCTGATGATGCTGATAATGATGCTGATGCTGCTGATGATGGTGATGCTGCTGTTGATGATGATGCTGACGATGCTGCTGATGATGCTGCTGCTGAGGATGCTGCTGCTGCTGATGATGATGTTGCTGCGGATGCTGCTGATGATGATGCTGATGCTGCTGCTGCTGCTGATGATGATGATGATGATGCTGATGCTGCTGCTGCTGATGATGATGATGATGAGGATGATGCTGCTGATGCTGTTGCTACTGCTGATGATGATGATACTGCTGATGATACTGATGATGATGATGATGATGCTGACGATGATGATGATGATGCTGCTGCTGCTGATGATGCTTATGATGATGATGATGATGGTGATGATGGTGATGATGATGATGATGATGATGATGATGATGATGATGATGACGATGCTGCTGCTGCTGATGATGATGATGACTCTGACGATGACGATGATGATGATAATGCTGCTGATGATGCTGCTGATGATGCTGCTTCTGATGATGATGATGGTTATGATGGTGATGCGGCTGCTGATCATAATGATGACGATGCTGATGCTGCTGTTGATGAGGATGCTGCTGCTGATGATGATGCTGCTGATGATAATGCTGCGGATGCTGCTGGTGATGATGTTGATGCTGCTGCTGATGATGATGATGCTGATGCTGCTGCTGCTGATGATGCTGTGGATACTGCTGATGCTGGTGATGATGATGCTGATGGTGTTGATGATGAAGATGATGCTGCTGCTGATGATGATGATGGTGATGCTGCTGCTGATGATGCTGATGGAGACGATGACGATAATGATGATGCTGATGCTGCTGCTGATGATGATGGTTATGCTGCTGCTGATGATGACGATGATTCTGCTGATGATGCTGATGATGATGATGATGCTGATAATGATGTTGCTGCGGTTGGTGCTGGTGGTGATGCTGATGTTGCTGCTGATGGTGATGATGATGCTGATGCTGCTGCTGATGATGGGCATGATGCTGATACTGATGCTGATGCTGCTGCTGATGATGATAATGATACTGATGATACTGCTGATGATGGTGATACTGGCGATGATGCTGATGATGGTGATGCGGCTGCTGCTGCTGATGATGATGGTTGTGATGCTGCTTCTGATGATGATGATGACGCTGACGATGACGATGCTGATGATGATGGTGATGATGCTGATGATCATGATTCTGATGATGATGCTGCTGATGATGCTGATGATGATGCTGATGCTGCTGCTGATGATGTTGCTGCTGATGATGACGATGACGATGCTGCTGCTGATGATGATGCTGATGATGTTGCTGCGGATGCTGATGATTCTGCTGCTGATGATGATGATGCTGCTGATGCTGCTGCTGATCATGCTGATGCTGAGGCTGATTATGATGATACCGATGATAATGATGATTATGCTAATGCTGCTGATGATGATGATGATGATGATGATGACGATGACGATGGTGATGGTGATGCTGCTGCTGATGATGATGCTGATGCTGCTGCTGATGATGATGATGGAGACGATGACGATGATATTGATGATTATGCTGATGATGATGATGCTGCTGCTGATGCTGATGATGTCGATGATGATGATTATGCCTATGCTGCTGCTGGTGATAATGATGATGATGCTGCTGCTGATGATGCTGCTGCTGATGATGATGCTGCTGATGATGCTGCTGCTGATGATGATGTTGCTGCGGATGCTGCTGGTGATGATGATGCTGATGCTGCTGCTGCTGATGATGCTGATGATGATGATGCTGATGCTGCTGATGATGATGATGAGGATGATGCTGGAACTGATGATGGTGGTGATGATGATGATGATGATGATGATGATGATGATGATGATGATGATAATGATGCTGCTGCTGATGATGATGCTGATGCTGCTGCTGATGATGATGACGATGGTGCTGCTGATGACGATGATGATGATACTGATGCTGCTGATGCTGATGATGATGATGATGATGATGTCGATGATCATGATGATGATGATGATGATGATGATGATGATGATGATGATGATGATGATGATGATGCTGATGCTGATGCTGATGCTGATGCTGATGATGATGATGATGATGATGATGATGATGATGATGATGATGATGATGATGATGATGATGATGATAAGAGCCCGTTTCCTTATTGCTTGGGGCATGACGGGCGTCATGTCCGCCGTTCCCACCCCCCCATGACGTAAGGCTCCCCCCCCAGTGCGCTCCGGGCACTGCCGCCGTGCGCATTGGGATCCGCGTAGATGTCCGCGTAGGTGTCCGCGTAGGAATCTGCATAGGTGGCTGGTCCGCAGTCGTCGTCGCCGTCGCCGTCGTCGTCGTCGTCGTCGTCGTCGTCGTCGTCGTCGTCGACATCGTCGTCGTCGTCGTCGTCGCTCGCGGCTCGTCGCTCGCCTCTCCTCGTCGTCATGCGCGCGGACGCGGCTGTAGCCTGTCATTTAGTCCGGGCCGATGGCGGCAATCATCTGGGGGGGGAGGGGGTCGATGACGTCACGTTTCGCGCTGGCGGCGTCTGGGAAGGCTTAGGAATGACGGAGGACGGGTAGCATTAGCATGCAGGTGGCGATCTGCACCACAACGCCTGTGTACATCACAGTGCCCGCGTGCACCACAGCGCCTGTGTACACCACACCGCCTATGTACACAACAGCAGCCGCGTGCAACACAGCGTCAAGTTGTGCCACCGTGCCTGCGGGCACAACAGCTCCTGTGTACACCACAGCTCC